TTTTAGAATCAGTTTATTCTCTTGCTGAAAATTTTATTCCCAGGTTTCTTGTGAAATTACTAGACATGAAAATAGTTTTTACAGATTTTTTTCCTAGAGGGATAGTGAGATGGCTTAGAAGGAAAAGGTACTGGCTGTGTAGCCAGAGTTCAGTCCTGGAACCTGTATGGTAAAAGGAGACAACTGACTCTGGATTGTTGTTCCCTGACATGTGTGCATGGTATGTGCACACACACACACAAATAAAAAAAGAATTTTTCCTTGAGGCTAGTGGAAAACAAGGTAGTCTGTAGAGTCAGAAATGGAATCCTGACTTTTTTCCCCCCTTAGAAATTACCACAGTGACTTTGAACAAGTCATTACACCTCTCTGAGGCAATGTGGTGCCTAGGGGGACCATGAGAGGGAAACGGATGTTGATTGAATGAGGAGGCAGGAGAGAAAATGGCTGGTATCTATGGATTATAGTACCTACCGACAAGCTGCAGCCCAGCAGGGTGGTAGTGCTTACACCACCCAGCCAGCTCAAGGATATGCGCAGACCACATAGACATATGGGCAGCAAAGCTATGGAGCCTGTGGACAGCCTAGGATGTCAGCTATAGCTGGGCTCAGACCACTACCGTCTATGGGCAGACTGCAGGTGCACCTTCTTAAGGACAGGCTCCTGGTTATACTACTCCAACTGCCCCTCAGACATATAGCCAGCCTTTGAGGGTATGGCACTGGTGCTTGTTGACACTACCACTGCAACAGTCACCACCACCAGGCCTTTTATGCAGCACAGTCTACATGTGGTACTCAGCCTGCTTACCTGGGAGCCAGCGACCATAGCACCTGTAAGACCACAAGATGGTAACAAGCCCACTGAGACTACTCAATCTCAATCTAGCACAGGGGTTATAACCAGCCCAGCCTAGGATGTGGACAGAGTAACCGCCGTTATCCTCAGGTACCTGAGGGCTACTCCATGCAGCCAGTCACCACACCTCCATCCTTTTTCCCACCAGCTAGTCCTCTTACCAACAGAATGATCAGGGCAGTTTCCCTCAGGAGAACACCTATGGGCAACTGAGCAGCCCCGGACAGCAGAGTAACCATGGTCAACAAAGCAGCTGTGGGCAGCAGCCTTCCGCTAGTTATCCCCCTCAGGCTCCAAGTCAGTATAGGCAGCTGAGAAGCAGGGGCAGCAGAGTTCATTCCGATAGGACCACCCTAGTAGCATGGGTGTTTATGGGCAGGACTCTGGAGGAGTTTCCGAACCAGGAGAGAACCAGAGCATGAGCGGCCCTGATAACTGGAGCAAGAGAAGACCGGGGTTCAACGGTGGAGGCATGAGCAGAGGTCGGTAGGAGGAGGACTCAGTGGAATGGGCAGTCAGTGCTGCAGAGCGAGGTGGCTTCAATAAGCCTGGTAGCCCCACAGATGAAGGACTATGGATATTAGACCTTCCTATAGATCCTGATGAAGACTGACAGCAGTGCCGTTTATGTGCACGGATTAAGTGACATTGTGACTCGTGATGATCTGGTAGACTTATTTAAACAGTGTGGGTTGTTAAGATGAACAAGAGAACTGGGCAACTCATGATCCATATCGACCTGGATAAGAGAATAGAGAAGCCCAAAGGTGATGCCACAGTGTCCTATGAAGTTCCACCAACTGCCAAGGCTGCTGTAGAGTAGTTTGATGGGAAGGATTTTCAAGGAAGCAAACTTTGAAGTCTCTCTTGCCCCAAAGATGTCTCCAATGAACAATATGTTGGGTGACGTGCTAACTCATGAGGGCAGAGAGATGCTGCCATCATTCCTGCAGGTCCTGGTGGCCTGTGGGTCACATGGAAGGCCGTGGAGGAGATGGGCTTCCTCTCAAGAGGGCCCCAAGGTTCCCCTACTGGAGGAGGAAATGTTCAGCCCTGAGCTGGAGACTGACAGTGTCTCAGTCCAGGTTATGGAACCCAGAACTTCGCCTGGAGAACAGCATGAAAGCAGTGTAAGGCCCCTAAGTCTGAGGGCGTCTTCCCACCACCCTTCCCACCTCCTAGTGGTGATCCTCGCAGAAGTGGCCCTGGTGGCATGTGGAGGAAGAGGTGGACTTAAGGACCACAGGGTTCCAGTGGAATGTTCAAAACTGGCCATGGGGCTTTTGAGATGGCTGTGGCATGGACCAAGGTGGCTTTGGTAGAGGAAGATGAAGTGGCCCAGGGGGTCTTCTTGGACCTTTGATGGAACAGATGAGAAAGAAGAGGCAACTGCGGTTCTACCCCCAATTCTACCTTTCTGTGTAAATGTCATGATTTCACTTTTTAAAAATAGCTGAATAAAATTCCATTCTGTATGTGTATCACTGGGTGGGAATATTGACCCTGTATAATTTAAGAGATTCTAGATATGCAACTTGAGGAATTCAGTAAAGTCACTTTTAGGAAATGGCAAATTCTCAGTAGCTTCTCCAGATGAAAGCATCCTCCTTCTTCATTCTATTTTTAATTTTGCTTTAATGGTCTTTGCCGTTAATCAACATAATGAAAAATTATCATTCACTGAACAAGCTAACCTGTCCTTGGTGGTGCTCTAACTCTTTTACATACGTGGTTTTATTTCATTCTCAAAGCACGGCATGGGAGAACATTTCTGTTATGTGATGGAGTATGACCAATGCAGACAGACACAAGCAAAGGCAGCATGTAAGGGGCACTGCCAAGCTTCCCTGTGGCCCTTGGGAACCATGGAGTTTCCAATGATCTTGCTGGGAGTTCTCATTCTTGTTCAGATGATCTTCTATTGATAGAGTTTATAATGTTTTCAGTCCTTTGAGTTTTATATATTCCCTTTCCTTCATAATTTAATAATGTTGATCTCCATTTTGTTTCTCATTGTTTTTCTCAAATACATTGTGTGTCTTTAAGAGATCTTTATTTAAACAGTTGTGCTTTGGGGACACACCTTTAATCCCAGCACTCAATAGGCAGAGGCAGGTGGCACTCTGTGAGTTGGAGACAAGCCTTGGTGTATGCAGAGAGTTCCAGGCCAGCCAGGGCTACATAGTAAGACCCTGTCTCAGAGCAAAAAACAAGAAACAAACAAACAAAAAACCAAACCAAAACAAAAAAATTAAAATAAATGTTTATATTTTAATGATTATCCAAAAGGTGTAATATATTTATTTTCTTACATTTCATTTATTTACTATTTCTCAAAAAATGTTTGTTCCCTGGTATGCACTAGTGATGACTCATGCTTTCCCTCTTGAGTGTTATTAAATTATACATATTAGAATAGTCTTATCATTACTATGATAAGACTATGTGGGTGCTGGAAATTGAGCCTGGGTCCTCTGCAAGAGTAGGCAGTGCTCTTAACTGCTGAGCCATCTCTCCAGCCCCATGACCAAGAATTTACATACAAAAATATGAGGCTGTAGATGCTATGATTTCTATAGGTAAAAATTAGGATAAATACAAATAGAACTCACATAGTTACATAGTCATAGTGAAATAGTGGAACAAGCTGAAGAGAAAAACTTAAAAAGAATGTTTTATCCAAGGATGGATAGAAAATGTAACATGGGGGGAAATGTACAGAAAGAAAGTAGCCTCAGTCGAAGGGAAAGCACAGATGAATTAATATCAAACCAAAGAGCTAGATTATTTTAAGAAAAGCTATAGTAAGAAATGACAGCTGATTTAGCTTTCAGAAGTATACTAAAAATAACTTGGTTAAATCTAACAAAAATGAGAACAGTTTGCTTCATTTGTGATTTTTCTGTTTGACCTGTGCTTTCTCTGCAACTGCACTGACTGCCTCTGTCCACAGCTGTACGTGAAGTGCACTTGTTCTCACTGCAAGTAGCCTTCTCCCTTTGTACCCTAGGAAAATTCGAACATCTTGCCTTATGAACTGCTTTGCTTTGCCCTTGTCTTTGAAGAGTTAGAGTTGATTTGTGATGAAGCCATGTGTCATTATTACTACTGTTGTTCTTATTTTTATTCCTCTTTGGATGAGATACCTAACTAGAGCTGAGGTTTCCTTTGGGTGTTAGCTGAATCTTTTTCTTAGGTCTATAACTGTGTATATGTCCTGATCCTATTCTGAGTATTTAGCTTATCTCAATGTAGCTAGCTCTTTAAGAACTCTAAAGAGGGAGGGAGGGAGGGAGGGAGGGAGGGAG